TGTTTTGTTGGGTAAGAATCTGACCAATTCCTACAATCTCATCAATTTCCTTTGAAGATTTAACATTTTTTAATTGCCGTTTACTGAAGAGTTTGGCTACCATAACCTGAAACAATTTTTCAACTTCTGGATCAACTATTTTTTGACCACTATCAATAAGATTTTTTTGGATTTGCAAATAGGTAGATATAGCATCTAATTCCTCTTCTGAACCACTTTCAATAAGATTTTCGATAACATTTTTATCATTAATTAAGTTTAAAGTCTGAATGTACTCTAAATTTGGATTCATTGCAACAGTCCAAAAAAGCCTACCGTCCCTAACGGAAAGGCAAGTCCATCATGAAAAACAAAACACTTGCAAAAATCAAAAACCAAACTCGAAAACTACTTACGCGCACGATCGATCAGGAACACTTCACCAAGCGACCAGCTCACAGTAACTCCAAAGCTTGAATTTTTTTGGGAGATGCCGAACTCTCGGCCAATCACGGCTCTCGGTCTCTTCTGTGAGCTGCGAATAGCAGGATCGTATGCTGGCATCTGTGAAGTGCTCGTTATCAATCTGTTCAATTTTAAGGAATAAATTTTGACTAGTTTTTGATAAGGTAATCACAGGTTTAATGTTAGGTCCGAATGAATCACATCTGTACGGACGTACCAGGCTGCATTCAGGGCCATACGTAAGGTTTTACTTTGAAAAGATTGAAGTTTTTTTCACATGAGTTTTTGCAGCAGTACCCCAGATTGTACATGCATACATAAAGACAGGTCTTATAATTGGATGTATAGAGAAGGATTTTGTTTTTAATTGACAGATTGCTCTTTCGAGCTAAAAATGGGTAAAGTTGGGCTCTAGCACCTTTTGCTTTGTTGAGAACACTTTCAATGTGAAGGCGCCAGGTTAATTTTGAATCAAGTACAACTCCTAGGTACTTGTAAGAATTTGACCAGGGAACATAGTCATCAAAGAATTTAATATTAATGGAAGGAAGGGTACGGGAGGGGGCTACGTTTGAATATCATAGCAGCACATTTAGCAACATTAATTTTTATTTTCCAAGTGATGAGCCAGTGCTCAAGGCTAGAGAGATAACTCTGAATGATTTGGACCAAGTTTTCAAGGCGTTTGTGTTGAGCTAGGATGGCCGTATCATCTGCATAAAGTGCAAGAGTGATACTAGGTGATTTTGGTATGTCATTTATGAAAATGTTGAACAAAATTGGGCCTAAAAGTGACCCTTGGGGGACGCCGCTTAGTATAGGACGGGGTGTCGAAATGAAAGAATTAACTCGTACAGAAAAAGATCTATTAGTGAGGTACGAATTAATTATATGAATTAAATGGGCCGAAACGTCAAGTCGTATGAGCTTGATAATAATTCCTATATGCCAAGTCCTATCAAATGCTTTGGCTATGTCAAGAAAAAGTCAGATCACAAATACAAATCAAAATACCGAGTTTTATCCGCCATACTAATGTGTGAAAGCGCCATCTATAGGTGAACTGAATCGCGGATAAAGCAGGTAGAAGAATTGTGTGAAATAATTGTTCATTCAAAATAAAGGGATTAAAATTCAACTTGCAGTTTTTATAATAACATGCGCAAGATATATACAGTAGAAAGTTTGAAATCCAGATGTCCAGTATCGTGAATGGTCTAATCTTTGGATTACTGGCCATGAATGTGATTATAAATGTAGGAAATAAAGTTATTGAATAATTTGTATAATTGTTTAAAATAAAAATTAAATATTTTGCACTGTTTATAATGACATTCAAATGATTAATCTTAAGTTTGAAAAAAAAATTCCTACATAGGTATGAACTATTAGTTGAGTTTTGACTAAGAAAACAATGGGGAAGGAACATGAGTATTGACATTCTGCAGTAGAAGTTTATTTATTGTTTTTTTATTAAACTTTTTCTCTGTCTCTTCTATGTATTTAATTTTAATTGCTGCAGTAACATTAATGAAGAATTGCTATATTTCATGAATTGAACTTTTGACAGAAAACAGGTATAGCCATAATATTCTTAACATATTGTATGTTCGATAATTTGAATCGCGTAAGGTGCAGTCTGATCCTGTCTAACAATTGCCCTTCCTTCAATTAGCTATGCAAAGCATTTTTGGAATCGCAATCTATTTCTGACTACTCTATAATTAATATATGTCAAAACTATTTAAAACTAATTTTAAACTAAACTATATATATATGTCAAAACTATTTCTGACAACTCTATAATTAATATTAAACTGTCTTACAGTTAATAACTGGGTATGTCATCATATTTCCATTCAATTTATTGAAGTTTTTCGCTTCGCTGACTCATTATGTTGGGTCATATAAAAAGTCTCCACGCTTTTTTGCTGCTAGATGGTGTTGATGCCTATATATCCGGCAACACTCACCCAATTGTTTCAAACAAACAAGGTGATATTCAGCTTCCATTGTTTGTGAAGATAGTTTTTTTTTTAATTCGTTGCTTTGGTAAAAAAGTTATGTGAATTTGAAAATGACTGAAATATCTGAAGAAATGCTCTATATGATGCTTTTTGACTATAAAAAAGGTGAAAACATGCCCAAAAATTTGTGAAGTGTACGGTGAGAATGCTGTGAGTAAACGAAGGACCCAGGAGTGGCTTGCTCAATTCCGTTCCGGTAATTTCGATGTCAAAGATGCACCTTACTCTGGTCGTCCAATCGCTGAAAAAGTCTATGAAATTTTGCAACTGGTGGAGCAAGACCGGCATGCAAGCTGTCAGGAAATAGCGGAGGCACTAAGCATCAACCTCATTTGAAAATTTGGAATCATTTGAAAAGGGCAGGCTACAAAAAAGAAGCTCAATGTTTGGGTGTCACATGAATTAACGCAAAGAAATTTCATTGACCGAACTACCATCAGTGAAATGCTGCTGAAACGCGACGAAATTGAACCATTTTTGAAGCGAATCGTTACAGGCAAATGAAAAATAGGTGAATTATGAGATTAATCAAACACAGGTGATCATGATCACTGGCTAGTGACCCTCCACAAACGACTTCAAAGGCTGGATAGACGCCAAATAAGGTTATGTTGAGTGTTTGGTGGGATTGGTAGGGAAATGTCCATTATAAGCTGCTGCAACCTTGTGAAACCATGAATTCGGTCGGAACTGTACTGTGCACAACTCGACCGTTTGAATGAAGCAATCCAGAAAGTGTGACCATTGGCCAACAGAAAGAGAGTTGTGTTCCATTACGACAATGCACGGCCACATACATCTTTGATAACTCAGAAAAAATTGACGGAGCTTGGTTGGGAAGTTTTGATGCATCCACCATATAGCCCGGACCTTGCTCCATCTGACTACCATTTGTTTTGGTCTCTGCAAAACTCTATTAATGGTAAAAAATTGGCTGATCGAAGCGCCGCTGAAAATCACTTGTCTAAGTTTTTCGACGATAAACCACAGAAGTTCTACACCGATGGAATTATGAAGCTACCCAAAAAATGGTAAAAGGTCATAGATAATAATGGTCAATATGTACTTGATTAGTATGGATTTTTAATAAAGAAAATTTTTGTTAAAAAATGTACCAAAAAAACGCAGACACTTCTTATATGACCCAGTATTTCATGTCATAGCCTTTTTAAGTATGGAATTTAAGTTTTTGAGTTTTCTCAGCTCTAAACAAAGGTTTAGCCCAATCATTATACTATTTCAAAATCATATCCATTCAGTTGAAAATTGCTGTCAGTTTAGAAAATCCGCAGTCTTCTTTATGGAAAAAATAGATATTCCAAATATCAGCTTGAGTGATAATAAAATTATGTTATTGCTATCTGGAAGTAACACTAGATCGTGCTTGTTTTATCTTCATGACTATTGAAAGACAAAAATCTTTTAGCAAATTCATGAAGTTTTTAAATTAATGCAGAATACTTTGTAATGGCTTACATTGTTAAAGGTGGTCGTGCTAAAAACTTTACTTATAGTCGATTGTTTCTGAAACAGTTGCCTCCTTTGTAAAAAACTTGCACATATTCATATTTATTGATAATGTAATCGCTTCCTTGTATTTTCAGTTTAAATCATGCTAATGATGTGAAGCAATGTCTACATAGCTGCTGATTCAGTGTCCATTGTTTCATTTATCTGCAGTTCACAGTGACAAACGGAGAGAATTCCTATTATTCTTTAATGGCTGCCAATTCTACTGGTTTTTTGACGCATCTCCCGGTAGATTACTGAATCTTACATTGTTTTAATTTCTACCTTTTACTAGTGAAAGTAACAATAAAATAAAATTTGCACAGCTTATGGTCATTATTTAATTAATGAAACTAAATTTTGTGGATTTCATCCCCTTCCCATACCTAATTATATTCAGCATATTTTTTCAGATTAAATTTTTTACCTGGATTGTCTTAATCATATAAAACTTAATATGAGATCAGCCAAATGTGTAATCATTAAATATTTGTATTTAATTTCGTTTTACATCAGTATGTAGTCATTAAGCTCATTTCAGAACTGGAAAACTGAAAAATATCCAATGCAAATAACTTTAGTTTCATCATATTTAAAAGTACTCTGATGAATTAAAGCTTTCCTTCCCTACTCAGAATTCTCTCGGTATAAAGAAAGTGTGTAGGAAAAGTGTCTCAGTGTAAGAAAATTATGAAATGAAATATAGAATGTGTAATTAAATGTCAATATAATTTAAATCAGAATCACATTATAAATATGAATCAATTATATGTCAAAAAGTGAATTTAAGCCAATTTTGTATTGTTTTAAAAATGCGATCACTGCATAGTACGAAAACCTTGCAGAAACTCATATTTAAAGGTTAGCAGTTGTACATTTTAAAATGCAAGCAAAGGGACAACAGCTGAATTATGGCACCTCAGACATACTGAATACTGTCTTTTGGTGTATCTGCATGCTTGTTTGGCTAATGCATCAAATTGAAGCAAAAGATACAACTTAAAGAAACAGAAATGAAAGTAAAATTGATCAAAACAGTATTTATTTAACGTAAACATATATATATGAGAATATAAAAAAGCAAAACAGAGTCAGAAAATTGGCCTGCATATGCCTGAATTCCAATCGAAAATATTCCATTTCGCATTGTTGCGGTTGTAACAAAGACCGGCACTACGGATTTTATAGCTTAGTGCGATCTTTGCAGATCCTACATTCTGCTCCAAGATGCTTCCATAAATTCTAAAAACTTTGTCATCCCTAAATTTTGTTGCTTGATGCCTGTCTTAAATCTAAAACGTCTGCTGCCCGATGCAGTTACGCTGGCTGTGGTTGCAACAGAAGGATAAAGAAATTGAAAAGTGAGACCTGTATGCAGGGTTCTGAAAGAAAAAAATCATTCGTTTTTGTAGATGCAATATGAAAGTGGCATACAATGGTTATTAGTTAAATGTATACAACAGGTAAAATGCACTCAAAAATACTAAAACACCAGTATACTCTGTCTGTATATAATGAATTAAATCAAATAGTACAAACTTAGAACTCACCCTACTCAATAATTATAAGTTGATCATAATTTTGTTGAGAAGGAATTTTAACTGTGAGTTGTCAATGTTGCTTGCCATGTTATTTGTGTATCCCATTCCCCCACTGCCACTATTCTAGCATTCGCTTTGTGTACATTCAGAATATTGTTGCAGTTCTTTTTCTGTTTAAAATTCTGATTTATTTTATTAAGATTTTCAAAACAAAATTAGTAGAGCTACATACAAACAGTATGTTTATAAAAGGAATGAATCTTATTTCTAACATTCTTCAATGCAATATTTTATGCTGTACCAACCTGAAACAGCCGACTTTTTTTTTAAATAATTAATTTCAAATTTTACATACAAAATATTTATCTAAACATACATAAATAACAATAATATTAATAAAAAAGGGAAAAAATCAAGTATATAGTAATTATCATGGAGGTAAGAATAAAAGAAAGGGCCAATCCCACACCATTGAGTGAAGCACTGCTCCCAGGCTTTGGTCTCCAGATGGGGTGTTTTTTGTTTACATCCAAAGCTTTCTTGGCAGCTCCCTGATAGTATTTCCACACATGACAGTTCCATACAAATTAAAAAGCGCGACACTTCCGCATAAAAGAAACATTCATTGCTTGATGGATAATAGAAATGTGTATAGTTTAGTGAAATTTACGTAAAAATCACATCTTGGTTATTTTTTGATAACTTGCAACAAGCGATTTTGGAGTACCTTTAAAATAGTATACGTCTTTCGATACCCTTGATAGCGTATTCACTACTTTTATTGTATGTTTCAAATACCAAAATGGTTTTAATGAAATACATGTTTTGAAATCCGCATGTTATTTTTATATAACTGAAAAATAATCGCTGCATAACTAAAAAGTAAATAAAGTTCCATCTCTTTTTTTTTTAAAATTTTATTTAGCAACATGTGTAATTGATGATGACTAAATGTAATACAAAATTATGAACGAAAAATCTTTAATATTCAGTACATGTACTTGAGTAGCAGTTTGCTATTTTTGAAAGAGTTTCGAGTCATGAAAAAAGTATCATCAATGTTATTAATTGGTATATCAATACACTTTGCATATTATTACCTTCTGAATTACCTCGCAGTATGAAAATTTCAAATATTTTGAATTTAGATCAATTACCTGTTTAAACTGTTTTAAAAAATCAAGCAATATTATGCAGAGTAAGGCAACCAAGATTATGATCTGATTGATGACAGTGAGGTTAATGTTTAAATGTGGAACGGATAGTTATTTATTATATTATCAGAGAACTATTAAACTGTGTGGAATCACTAAAAGAGGTATTGAATGCTCTGCCGAAATATATATATTGGGAAACTTGAATTTGATAATGAGTGTATCCTAAAACCTGTTTTAAGTCAAAAGTTTGAAACTTGATGGCTAGATGTGAATATAAAATTATGCACATTAAAATATGTGTAATTAAGCGCATAGGTCAGGTTAAGTTTTTTATTAAATAGGGTAAGGCATGCTAGAGCTGTCTGCCTAAAGGGAGAGATGCCATTATGTAGGAATACCGAAGGAAAACTGACTTTGAGTGGATATTAAAAATAATGCATGTAATTTTCAAGTTATATTTATACATATTTCTTATGTAAAAAATTCTGGTATGTGCTAAATTATTGAAAAAAGATAGTAATGCACAAAAATTATATTTGCAATATAAACCTCTCTGACTGCATCCTTTCCAAATTGATTCATGTCAAATTACTTTTCCATAATGCTGGTGACGTTTCGTAAACTAAAACTCAACCAGCCAACAATAATTTTGAAATGCTATTAATCGATCAAAATTCAAACTAATTCACTCAATTAAGATCTCGACCTGATCACATCTTACTTCCATCTTCTCTCTCCAAACATGGAAACATCTTAAATTGGCTCCCTTATTGCGGCAGTGTTGGTTTAATAACGAATATATCAATTATGAATGTAAAAGAAATATTAGTTTGGCTATGTCTATTAACGTATTCATTCTGCATCTATAACATCTCAATATGACTTCAAGTATTTCTATAGTACATCTGTGCCATCAACGACATATGGTAAAAATAGAATACTTTTGATGTTAGACATACAATGAAAGCGACTTTCGATTACCCCCCTTAAGTTGCGCTATTAATTTCTGTAACATATTTTTCAGCCATAACCATTTCTAATGAGAAGCATTAACTGTATATTTATTAATGTTGCTCTTAATCAATTTTAGTTTTAAACCTGCCTGCATTGACAATATTTATAAATATTTTCGGCAACATTGGGAAGATTATAAATGAATTTAAATATATTTTTGCTAATTATCATTTTTAATATTGTTCGACTGGCATTATGTCTCCTCCTGCTTATGATTTGGTTTTTTGGACAGTTTCTAAAAAAGAAAGGACAGTGAGAAACATAGAGACTAAACTCTCTGCTGCCTTGAATGTTTTGGAAGTTTGATGTGATACTAATAATATGGAGGTGAACTTAAATAAATCATACTGCCTGATTTTCTCACTTATGCACCGATCTTTGGATCTTGAGCTGACGTATAAGGGTACCCAAATCCCCTTGTGCGATAAATTTAAATATTTGGGTGGCACGCTTGACCGCAAACTGACATGGAAGCCACATGTAGAGGAATTGTCCAACCGTGCTACGAAGAGACTCAGTGTCCTTAAACGCCTCATCGGGTATGTATCGTCGGTGTTTGTTAGTTAATAAATAGTGCTACGCTTTTTAAAGCTGTAGAATATGCGTGTCCTAGCAAAGTTTAGATGTTTTTAAACGAAGTCTATCCAAAAACACTGTCACACTAAGAGTGAAAGAATTAACTGGAAAAAAAAGGGGGGGGAATTGGGGATTTTTTTTTCGTACAATCGATAGCAAGCTGGAAGCTTCGGATGACCTTCTTCTCTTTCCTTTTCCTGTCTATATATAAACCAATTATTTTCCTCACTTTAAATTTCTTAAAATCCGAATATTTCGCTTCTCAGATTGGTAGGAATGTTTTGTCATTAATATATGGTTAATCAATGTTAAATTCGAATACAATACAGTAATGCTTCAATCTACACAGAGAAATCTTACTATATATTACTGAAGTCTAACTCACATTTATCCGAAGTTTGTGTCAGAGTCGAATACAATTCTGTTTCTCGTGTTGTACCTTTAAGTGCAACGACACTGGCTAATTCCTCTAGAATTATGAAATCTCTATCAAAGCCACGAATAAAAATGGCTACTTGTACAGTAGCTGTTGATTCATCCATCGCTACAGAATAGAATTCAAATTGTTTGCATTTGGTTTTTAATTTACTGAATATATTTGTTGCGAGATCCTTTGTGTCTCTCGCTACTGTCTCACCAAACAAGCTAATATTCGATATGACCTGAGCCTGTGATAGACAAAGCACATTAACTGCACACTGAAGATATTCTTTTATAAATTCTCCATCAGCAAAGGGTTTCCCAAAGGCAAATTTTTTTGCTATCATGTAACTAACACGAACACTATTTTCAGATTCTTTATTAGCTGTGGTGAAGAAAGACTGCTGAAAATTTTGTTTTGTTTTAATTCACTCACCTTATCACTTCGAAAATGACCTTCCAATGCGGAATATTTCTCACTGTGCTTAGTATCATAATTTCTCTTAATGTTGTATTCTTTCATTACAGCTACACTGTCGTTGCAAATAAGGCAAACTGCCTTACCCTTATGTACAAAATAAAATAAAGATCTGACCACTTTTCTTGAAAGAATCGCACTTTTCCTTTTCTCTCTCTGTTTTCTTTCTTTTTTTCTTTTTTTTTTAAATAAGACCATAAGACACTTCTGAGTTTTAGAATGTGGGCTGAGCTTGAGTAACCTACCTTAAAATCAACTGGAGAAAATCTGCTTATCACCAAATCAAACAAGATGTTTACGATCACCATTCCCTTTGACAACTTATTGCAACATATTAAAAAATAGAATTCTGTTAATTTATTCTCCCTCCCCTCTATAGTAGCGGCACGGTCAATGTCACTTTTGGCAAAGTATAGACAAAATATTTACATCTGTTGCAAACCTGTTAGAGATCAGAATCTATCCTTTTTATGGAATTGAGATTTTATGCGTAGTGAATTTTTTTATTTTTAAAATTACGTAAGGTAAATTGAAATTTTTGAAAAATTCGTCATTTTCAGAAAATTCTGTCTCAGGTAATATCAGGCATGTCAATAAAATATTTTAAATATTCAAGAGGGATGGGAACGATTTTTTTTTTTTACGATAAAAAGTTGAAATGCAATTTTTCTTGAAATCAGCATTTCTTAAAATTCTTCAATTTTTCTTCAAATTCAAATAAAGGGCCACTAAAATGCCTTCAGTGGGGCACGGGTTGAAGACCACTACATTAGCACATGAAAGCTAACTGCTTAAAAGGAGGAATGCATTCGTGTTGGAGTTTCTTAGGGAAATTGTCAGAATAAACGCTATACAAACTTGCATGTTTTTGTAATGCATTTGCGTTTTTATACGATACAATGTTTAAACTTGCCCATTTCTTTAAAGCTGAAAAATAAGCGTTATGAAATTATCTGCTTTAGATGTTGAATTTTATATGTAAGAGAAATATCCACACCTTTTGCATATTACCGAACGCGATTTTACCTGACAATAAACTTTAATTAAGCATCACAAGACAATAAAATTCACATAAAATTGTCTGCTTCATTTTATTTTATGAAGCTGGTTTTATAACGTTTCTATTTTAGAAATAAGTAATTAAATACGGATGTTTTTTCTTGAAATTTCAGTAATAGTATGGGAGGTAAAAGAGA